CCTCAGTATATTCCGCAGTATTAAATACCTTACTTATCCTATAGTAAGGGCACCTCGTCAGGTACCGTAGTTACCTTGTACATTCAAGGACAATTTACACCGCAGCGTCAAAACACAAGGACAATTTATACCAAAGCGTCAACACACAAGACAGTGGTGTTATAAAGAGACAAAAATAACATGAATCGTTGAAACATCAATCAAAAGCAAAGAAAATCTTTTTAAGCTTGCATAAAAATTGGAATTTAAGAACGTGTTTTGCAAATATAAGCATTGCCAACACTATATGCAACAAATGGCAAAAAAGTTTCCCGTGAAATCGGGGAGAGCGTATAGCCAATGGTGATTTATTACATAGAGCACGTTATAAACCATGATAGACATTGTCATGCTATAGTTAAACATCAGAGCATGGCGACGACTGCCATTTCTTCATCGTAGAGGAAGTTTAAGGTTAAAGGAACTATGTGCACCGCGCCCTATCTATTATATATGTCATATTACTAAATGCGATATAATAACGAAGATATTTTTATAAGAGAATAAAATATCACTATATGTATCAATGATAACGAGAAGTACTTATCACACGTTATACTATCGACATACTCAGTATCTGTTTACAGGATTACTAACATTGTATTTAGTCCACATGTTTCCAGAAAACTTTTATCTTCAAAAAACAATCTCTGATATGCAGCATAAAGACACCATCCGTATGATGTCACAATCGACTTAATAACAATAGTAAAATAGGCTGACCACAGCTGTTAGTTTACGTTCAAATCTAATAATACATATCAAAATATTATTATTAGTTCTCCAGCGTAATCTACAGGCCATCAGCTGCCATTGATTGATCTCTTTGATAACATGTTTTAACAAAATGATTGGTTGTATATCTGATTGGAAAGCATGCTTGGTAAACAACATCTGTTATTGAATATTCTCTTATCGTGTCATTCGGATCTGCTGACATGCGGTAGTTACCAGTCCTATTACCACGGCTACCAGTTAACGCTAACATTTTATATACAATACACAGTCATTAAACATTGAAATGTAGTTTCATATTTTCTGTATATATCGACAAAAATAAAGTCTTTTCAATCCAATAAAAAAATGACAACCCCCACGAAGGGCTGTAAATCATAGAAACGTTTTATACAGTCACCATTTAACGACCATGCGTAGTTTCAAAAAGTCCAGCAGTAGGAAACAAAAAAATGCATGAGAAATCAACACACCTGGACGCATGAGGTAGTTATCAGCATGTCTTCCGTCAGCGATGCAAGATAAACAAGAAACCTTTTTTTCAATCATGGAAGGTAGTTAAATCTCGTAGTTGGAATTCAGAACATGATGACGAACCTGAAATTGATAGGATGTCGATTGAAACCACTCTTACCACCTTATTCATTTGTAATAGGTAGCATTTATCCATATTAGACTTTGAATCCACTTCATCTCCACAAATAAAAATCTTGTAAATTTTTAGATGATTAACACAAATAATGACATTTTTCACACATCAGAGTTATTTAATTCGAGGACAATAAAGGTGTTACTATCAAATAGGCATTGCACACATATTATAATCAGTTTCACGAATAGCATATTTCACGAATAACATGTCAAGTAAGCAAATAACAAAAACAACCAAACTTTTTCCAGAGTTGGTCAGAAAATATGACTAGTTTATGATCTATAAACGAAGAAGGCACTATCACATAATGTCAACAAAATGCCCTAATAGATGCCCAAGAAGACGATGCGATGCAGTCGACGCATGCGTCACTTTTATATAAAATGCGGAACCAAACCAAAACGTTTTTCTTGTTGACCTGCTAGGACGTTTTATGTAAATATTTCAGGCTCGTGTGACATTCCGCTTGTTAGGACGAACCATCTGCTACTAGCAATACCTGTAGAATATTTGAAACATGATGAAAGGAATCTTATATCTGTTATAATATCACTAGAAATACTAAGTATGGAGACACTTATTTAACAATTTAGTTTGTTATTGCAGAAAACCTAACACATATAAAATTTACTGCAGCATATATCGTTTTTTTTTTCAAATTCAGGACTCATTTTTGGTACAAATGTCAAAAGAATTAAATTCCATATTTGTTTTCTGAAGCGTCTGTAAAACTCTTCAAATAAGAGGAACAATGTGTCAGTCTAGCTATTTTTTCTGTTTATATTGGAGTGTAACACATGATTTCCAACTTTTTCACTCGATCCGACAAAATTGATCCAAGGGGAATAACTCGCATGAACCGCTCTGCATCTATGACCTACTACAGGAAACATTCCAGCCTCCCATGTTGATGGAGTTTTCTCTTTGTTTTGCCGTCTCGCTCCTGTTACTGTCTCCAATTTTTCATTTATGTCCCAGTCCATGTTGTTGACTTTTCTTTTGCCTGACTGCCTTGGTTCCTGTTGTTTTTGTCATTGCTGTCTTTGTCCGTACTGTTATTGTTTTTGTCATTGCTGTCTTTGTCCGTGTTGTTATTGTTTTTGTCATTGCTGTCTTTGTCCGTGTTGTTATTGTTTTTGTCATTGCTGTCTTTGTCCGTGTTGTTATTGTTTTTGTCATTGCTGTCTTTGTCCGTGTTGTTATTGTTTTTGTCATTGCTGTCTTTGTCCGTGTTGTTATTGTTTTTGTCATTGCTGTCTTTGTCCGTGTTGTTATTGTTTTTGTCATTGCTGTCTTTGTCCGTGTTGTTATTGTTTTTGTCATTGCTGTCTTTGTCCGTGTTGTTATTGTTTTTGTCATTGCTGTCTTTGTCCGTGTTGTTATTGTTTTTGTCATTGCTGTCTTTGTCCGTGTTGTTATTGTTTTTGTCATTGCTGTCTTTGTCCGTGTTGTTATTGTTTTTGTCATTGCTGTCTTTGTCCGTGTTGTTATTGTTTTTGTCATTGCTGTCTTTGTCCGTGTTGTTATTGTTTTTGTCATTGCTGTCTTTGTCCGTGTTGTTATTGTTTTTGTCATTGCTGTCAATCGTTACAAAATGAGAGCTCTTGCATCAGTTGGATGACAATAGCACTTTTTGCTTCCATTCTATATTGGAATGAGTGATTACATTACGGAACTTAAGATTCCTCTTAGTATTAGGTAATTACTTTGGGAATTGATAAATAGGCCCGATTTGCAGCTATAGGTAGACAGTTTTCTTTTGCAGCTCACCGAACATTAACATAATCAACAGGACTGGCTAATTAATAGACTGTACGATAAGCGAGAAGACTTCGATTTTCCAATCGTGAATTTTCCTTTTCTTAATAGCAACATTCTTACATTCCTACGCTCCGAACGGAGATAACATGTCGTGATATATAGCTTGTTCCGATTATATTTATGTATTTGATAGATGACGAGTAGTTATAGACAAAACTTACAACTCTGTGTTTCTGAATATGTAGGCTGATGAAGCATGCACAAGATTTGTATGTAAGCAATCAAGATCTCATTAGTAAACAGGCTATTACCTTCTGTGATGTGAAGGCCTGTGTTCGTGCTTATGCTCCTTAGTTCGCCTTGTTGTTTCGTAGTCACTAACACAATCCACTTTGACGACGTGCCATATTATTTGGTTTCGAAAGAGATTTACATGGCGGGTGTAGAAGTTTACCCTCCTGGAACATTTGGTCTACAGATAATGAGTTTGAATTACGGGTTTTTAGACATTTCCTTATTCTCTTGTATTTATAGCAGACCGATCATGATTTGTAGACGCTACCGTACCTTTCAATTTGTGAACCTGAGCACAACTTTAAGTTTATTATGTATTCCCTTCGGAAGGCCTCGTCGATTTACAGGATATTTTGAACAAATTATTTTAATGTTCCTGGGTGTAATTCTATGTTGGGTGCCTTCGGGATAGTATATCAGTGAGGTAGCACTTTAAAGTTGGCATCAGATCGGCGCCATTGCAAGGAGGCAAATACACCGACATACCACCTAAATCAACCGCATACATTACCTACATGGATGCACGTGCTTGAATGACATTAGTTGTTAAGAAGACACTAAATCTTATAAAACCAAACAAGTTTAACTTGAGAGCGAAGATAACACAATGCGTGATGTTTTGATGACAGTAACGACTTTTATACCCGGCTAATAAAGATGAAACGTGGTTGTAATTAATGTGAGAAGATTAAAATTTTACTTTATAATTTGATTATTAAATGAACTTTAGTAACGTTTTTCAAGCATCTTGATAAGTTGTGTCGCGTTTACAAATATGTATGGAGGGGCCGCAATGCATTCTGAGGATATTTATTTTGGTAAATATATTTAATTACTCATGCATATATACATCATTCTGGGTTGGCTTGGGATGAGCTGCCCCAGCTACAACTCGCAATACAAGCTTTTTTTCTCATATTCCTTATTTCTTAAAATAATCCATTTTCATTTCATGTACATTTGATCCGCTTTCCTGTTTAATTAGAATCATTACATAGCAATTATTATAACAATAATTTTAAACACACGCACGCACGCTTGTTGTCTATAATGTTCCTCTTATTGTCTTTGGTGTCGACATTTTTTAAATTTCTGTTATACTTGCTACACTGCAAGTCTTTATTAAACACAACTTTTTTCTTATACCTAGATGGTGCCGCTTTTGTTACGTGGAAACACCATATCTCTGTTAGCCTTAATCCATGGCGTATGATATTTTTACATAAAGAGAATGCATTGTTTAACAATGATCAGGTTCTATTGAGTGATACTTGTAACAATCTGCAATGTCAAGTATACACGTTGCTGCAGTAACATTCGAGTGCTTCCGTGTATTTTCTCGTTATTGTCAGGTAATTATGATATTAATCAACCAAAGCTTGTTAATTAGAGTAAGTCACTGATTTAGATGGTGTGCTCCGTGTCGTCTCTTGTCTTGTATTACGACTACCGTTACAGTGACCAATATGATGGACTGTCGTTGATGAACTTAATCAAGGATAAACCACAGGATTCCACTTATATTGCCAGTTTATTTTCATTGCTTAATTTCAGTAAGTAATAAGGTTATGATAAACAAAACAAAACAAATAAAAATAGACCAATTGAAAGTTTTCTATCACATTATGATATACAGTACAGATTACTGACAAAAAGCGAGACATTTTACTGGGAATTCCTTGTTTTAATACAAGCAGTAGGCTGAGTTTAGACGAAAGTAGATGATGTATAATCAAAAACACAATGATTTAATCTCCAAGAAATGTATTAACTTCCGGATTTTTAATGAACCATTAACAAGTATTCATTAGAGCTGAATTTATGTTTAAAATAATCTACTGGAAAAGACACGTTACTAGATATCAAACATCAAGACAGTACACATCAAAACTATCAGAAATGTCATCATTTATTTCCGGTCGGAGTTGCATCAGGTTTGCCCATTCGTCCGTTGTCAGGGAAACCGGCATGCAGTCCATCAGTGTGGGCTTTCCGTCCGTGTAGGTGATGGTTCCTGGGAAGCCGATAGCTACTACAACTTGTTTAGCGTCGTTTAGAATGTGTGTCCTCACACAAACTGGTCTTGTACCCGACAAGGTCAGCACCATGTCATCTAGGTAGTCAAATCAATATATTAGGTAAGTAGCGGTCAGAAGACACGTGTAAAACTTAACCGGTTCAGGGAATATACGACATATGTACGATGTATAATAAAGTAAATATAACAATACTAATAATGAAAACTAACCATATGTAAGGCTATTCCTGGTCGTCCCTGTGTAATGCTGTAGAATGTATAGGAGGACAAAGCAAACGTTTCAGACCATTTGGGCTTTGTTTCTTATGACAGTCACTACATCTTTCTTTTTTTATATAAAATCATACACGTACCTCTAAGGTTATTTTCTGATGTAGCTGTACCTCTAAGGTTATTTTCTGATGTAGCTGTACCGGTAATGTCTCTCTTTTTCTTTTGCGGTGGCTCGTCCAGGTTTCTTTCTGCGGTTTGAATCGCACTGTCTATGGCATTTCGACCCTTGTAAAGTTCTTCCCATTCCGTGATGGACAAACGAATGCTAGTTGAGGTGGGCAGCCATGACTTGACCGACTCGTTCCAGTAAAACTCGGTTAAAGTAACAAACACACCTTGCCTGTATCTTTTGATTTGTATATACTTCATGGAGTCTTTATGAATACGGAACATATGTTTACCACTTGGTCTTTTCAGACGTGTCGTTTTGGTCTCCAGCCTGGTAGCTGATGAAGAGCTTGAGGAAGAGGCTTTGTCTTTGTTCGTTGTACCACTCTTTAACCCGTGAGCTATTCCTGTACCTTCAGATGAATGTTTTTGAAGTTCCTTCAATGCTGAACCTATTTTGCGTTTGTCTGTTGATTTCAGTTCAACATATCCTTCAAACGACGGACAGTTCGGATCTTCTTGCATTAAGATATGTTTGTATTTGCTGCCCTGCCAGAAACACTTGAAGTGATACCATTGTTGCTCCTCTTGGTTATCTTCGCTAAAACAACCCATCTTTAAGCAGCCTTTGGTCTGTATTGTAGCCCCACAAACAACACATTCGTCACGCTTGGCTCTAGGCCCGTTGTATTCCACACAGAAACTTACGTTACACATTTTTTCGGAAGGCGCGTATCGTTGACCAGCAGTGATGCAATGTACAATACACAGTACAATACACCTACCTTTCGAGGTTTCATATTGCCGTTATCTCCGTCTGTAAACATGTTATAACGCGTTATGTTGATTGATAAACCACAGCACGCTATGCTGAGTAAGTATTTATAATCGTTATCTGTGTCATATTCTGAGGGTAAAGTGTTTATGGTATGGGAAACACATATTTTCCATTACATGACTAATAATATCTTTTAAACATGTCGACTACTTATATTTTTGTATACCAAATTAACTTCTGATTCCATGTCTTTAGAACTTTATGGACATTTAATTTAAGTTTTATCAGTTTTCGTTTGAACAAATGGCCGAGATGTAAACATATTTTGTTTTCATTGTTGAGACGTGAAGTGGAATAATCATCAACGAAATGGCAACAAAAGAATATCAAAGTGCCAACAAAACTATAATTCAAACTCGAAATCGATAAACCTTGGGTCAAATATGAACAAAAGATTTTTTTCAGTGGGGCCCTTGCAAAAAGTACAAGGAAGAAGAATAAGACCAGGTGTTCCGGAAGGGTAAGCGTCAATTGTTACATCGATGACACCCGCCATGTTAATCTAAGTCGAATCCGAGTTAAGTCACGTCCACGACCCTCATGTCTCGCAAAGTATAGAATAATTCTCTGAGATTATGATGACTGCCGTTATTACAACACAAGGTTTCCAACGATGCAGGTGGAAGAAGCCTGTAGACAGGTGTTATGGTGTCCAACAGGATCTCACAGGGAAATATGCTATTTCATTATATGATACAAAGGTCGATATTAAGTTCTTTGGGGTGCCTCGTGGTTTTGTTGCAGCTATACGAGTTCACGATGCTAGGAACTTGGATTTGGCCTTTTTTAAATAAGTTACCGTCGATAAAGCAGAAGATGCTAACCCTTCCAGAACACCTGGGCCCGTATTCATGAAACCGTTCTCATGCTCAAGCATGGAATCTGTGCTCAAACCAACTTTCTGATAACTCACTTAGATCATGTGAAACGATCAAAAAGTCAAATGTAAACATTGAAAACAGTATTTAGCTGCAAGTCTCTTCAAAATGTTTCCAAATCATTGACAAAATAAGATTTATTTATTGAGTTATAACCAGAACAAGAAATTAGGCTTGAGCAAAAAATCCATGCTCCATACAAGTATTCTTGTACTTTTACAAGGGTCTTTTTTGTAACTTAACGATTTCACATTTAGTATTTCTAGCAATAATTTGTTTTGTTCTCTGCATTAACTTGCAAGAATTTTAAGTGTATGCTTCCTTTCTCGTTTGAAGAAATTTAGATTGTCGCCGAACTATTGAAAAATATTTTCTATCTATAATCTGAAACCCCTTAGCAGTTATTGTCCGGTATTAAAGGACATTCTCTTGGATGTGTAGATTCACTGCCTAAATTAACTTTGCGAGTACATGGATTTGTTTAGCCAAAATGTGCAAAGAAATAAAATCTGTTTGAAATGGAAGCGAGTTTCCTTCGTCCAAGTTTCGCTTTTAAAAATCATTTACATATTGAAATGTCGTAGATTACCAAGTTTTAATTATTTTTGCAAGTCTGGTTTGTTTAAGAGGCATTATTTTTGGTACAGGTATAGGATCTTCTGGACTTGTAGTTAGTCTAACAGTGCTGGATGTCAGATTTACATATAGGGTTCTTCCTTAGTACATTTAACTTTTCTTCTCTAACCATTACAATACCTCCTACTAAAGTTAATTATTTTGAGGTTACTTTTCCAAGCAAGGCGATTAGGTATATAGCTATGAACTATTTCATACTTTGTGAAAAACATGACAAAGGCCAAGATGAAATCGTGAGAATGATAATGATTGAGTTCCTGGTTGACAATATTTTTGTTGAGCTTCGTGGCAAAATTTTCCAGTAGGCAATAAGCATTTCTATAGGAACAAAATGCGCCCCTCTTCGCCCGAACTATGCAAATAGGCAGTTAGTCCATGACGACCTTTTTTACAATCGTGATTATACCAATAAAAGAGATGAACCATACAATAGTAAACAATTGTAAATTTCTAACGACAGCCGAACATCCAATTTCCAGAGGTGCCAAACTTTCATAGGAAGGGAGATCATCCCCCTAGACTGTCTGAAATCTGTAGATATAGACAAATGCATCAATTAAAAAAATAAATGGAATTACCTCTGGGTAAATGTGAAATGCAATCCGACATATAAACAAAGATAAATCCAAACCGCTACAGGAAGTTCGATATCTGAAAGGTTTAGAATTATGGTTGTGTATCATACAAATGTCCAAGTACAGACATTGATGAGGTCAAGTCCTTGGTCTGATCAACTAATCCCCACAAAAATATTCTGTGGGGGTTCCTTATTGAATAATTAATAAAATTGATTTAACTAAACTAATAAATTGAACTTTTGAAAGTTAGTTGAAGTGGACATGAGATCGCCTTGTTTCTGAGTTATTGTATTGGTTACACATGGTATTAATGAATACAACAAAATACAAGTTTCCAATTTGTCCACTTCGTTCAGCCATCAGTATTCAAGGACAAAAACAAGCATATAACCACCTCGTTGTGTACATATTTATTATTAATTAAAAATTTAAAATTGGTACAGTTTGAACAGTTGTGTATGTTGAAGCTTTCAGCTAATGAATCAAGTTCACGATATTGCGAGCACCCAGAGTTGAATACAAGGACCAGAGCACTCAGTTGTGACCCAGCCACCCAGCAGAAAATCAAAGCTATGTGGGTGTTTCAAATCATAATTATAACATCTAAGGGTTGACATAAACCAATAAAAAATGAATAGTTGAAATGAAAATGTTACAAACTCATTAACCTTTTATTATTTCTCATGATTTTCAAATTTTCAAGTCTTTTTTTTTGCCTTACATTTCAAATTTATTGCCAAAACAACAGTCATTCATTTTATCATTCAACATTATATAGACAAACCTTATAAATTAGTTAAGTTCTTTGATATACAGTTTTTTTTATTTTTACAAAATGTAAAACACAAAACAGATCCTACACATAATATTTTGAACTGATAATTAAATCAAAATAGTTAAGTTAGTTTACAACGTTCAAAATCTGAAGAACATATATTGAATAGGAACAGAAAATGCACAAACAATGTTCGAAACAACAGTGGTAATTTGCAATGCGCATTTTTCTGCAAAATGAAACTGCCACAAGGGTTAAGTGATACATACAAAGAGAAGAAAGGGCCAGATTAAAGCCTAATATCACAAAAGTAACTACATGTAAGAGATACATATGTTAAAGGATTAAATAAATCTATGAAATGTATTTACAAATGCCAAGAAATCTCTGTTAAAAATATACATTATTTTCAATTAAAAGGATAATCCCGAAGATCAGGTAATAATTAAGTGAATTAATTGCCAATACCTTGAATTCAAAGGCAAGAATTAGCATATTGATCTTTGTATTGTACAGATTTTTTCTCTGGGACTGCATGTACAATGAAACGGCAGCAATTTTATACCTAATTTGTACAGCTTGCTGACGAAAACATTAATTTGATCATACCATTGACCTGATTCAGGAGTTTTATGTGAAAAAGTGAAAATCTGTCAGTACAGAAATGATAATTACATACCATAGGGAAACAGTGACACTAAAGTGACAGTAACGGACTACACCCAACCAGAGGCTATCACAATCTACCTTACTGCTCTACAAACAATTCTGGGTCCTACAACTATCGTTGTTCATTGTAATGTAACGTGCTCTAACAGCAGTGCATTCTGGCAGTGAAAACGTTCATATCCCTGTTACAGACACAGGAAAGGAGGTTTCAAATTTCACACATTAAAACAATACGAAAAAAGAAAATAGAAAAACTTTGTGGAATTCAAAGGGAAAAGGTGTCATAAGCAAATTTTGCACAAAGGTAAAGCCAGGCTGAAATATAAGTCGTCTTCTCAACTACTCCTTCCATTACGAGGTTTATCCTTTTGATTTACTGTCTCTCATTCCGGCATAGTCTAAATATTTGAAATCTGACAGGAGATCAAACATGAATAATAACTGCCCATGACTTACAAGAAGACCCTACTGCCTACTGCATAGATCACAAGATACAATGGAGGAGGATGGTACTGAATGTAACACTTGTATATCTCAATATCAACCAGCAGGAAAACTTGACTCCACTCAAATTGGTCTTACACACAATCATCAATTTTATTGGAATGATATCATTATCCTAAAAGAATTTCTATCTTGCTTTTTAGTTTGTTTTGCAGTTCTCAAACAGCACATTTACCACAATAATGTATTTTTTACTGAATTGTGACATTATGAAATGGAGCATCAAGCACATTGTGTGGCACGCAGTCGATTGTACGGTGCCATTCTGTATAGACACACATGTATGGCATATGTGTCTGTAATTCAACCTTCTACTCATTCAAGGATTGTTATATCCATATAAGTAAATCTAAATAATGTTTCTCCTTAATTGGAATTAAAATGGTGATTATTAGACAGAGAAATGATAGCATGTTCCTTGTAGGGGAACCAGTGTTGAAACACTGTAACTATATCTTGAGTTTAGTACATGTTTAAGATTATTGAGACTTCCTCTATAATGTACACTAAAGTAATACTGGTCTAAAAACATTTCACTAGATCCAGTTTTACATACATACTAAACCGTATACAAATAAGGTACTGGCTCTCGTTATCAATTGCATCTGCTTAATTCTGATGTAGCTTACACTCATCCTCCCAGCTCAATCTCTACAGCCCAAGTAATACACGGCCATTCCAGGTTACAAGAGATTAATCTATCATAGCAAAGAACAGGGAGTATCTCATTGCATATGAATATTTAGATACAAGCCGATAATACATACACATTGCTGTACAAACCTAGTGACCAACACATATGTAGTTTCGGTTCACTTTCTGATTTGCATAAATGTTTCCTTGTGCTATGCATACTGTGTATAATGACTGTAACAATCAGCTAAATGTTTACCATGCCTATAAAAATATATTAAGCAAAAATTACAGATCCATGTAACATTCTGTGCACCAAGTCAGCTCTCAATCCACTGCAACCAAGTCACATTCCTAATACACACATCGTCAGCGTCTAGAGTCCTCAAACACGTAATCTTCACCAATGTACCGGCTTTATCAAACACTCTTTGGAACTGCAAGTTTTCAAGCAAGCCAGATACCCTTAATACAAATTTAAAAGTTTATCTTTATATATATGACGGTACAAGTGACACTGTCTCCAAACGCCGACGTTGGTACACACGTTTCAGGACATGTATCCGTATAAGATGTATCTTAATAGTCAAGTATGGCCCCGTAAATTTACACAGCTAGGTGACATTCAAAGTTGTACCTGGAAGCAAGAAGTATTTCTTGTCACAATATTTGAGTCCATGAATTTTAGATATACTCTCGGCACCGTGGCGAGTGGTCAACATCTCATATGGATATTTTTCTATACCTGTAAATATAGAATAGCATTTTACTTCACAAGACAAAACTCAACAGTTTGCAAACAAACTACCAAAGGGAGGTTACTTTTTTGGGGAAATTACAGATGTGAACTTGACCATAACTATGGTGACACCTGAAATGAGATGGAATAATTTCATCTATCGGTGTAGAAAAGGATTTCTACAATATTTAATAGATATATATAGGTTCCCCAATGAGTGATGGTTGGTTATCATGTTTATCTTACTCAAGTCAAACTGTATAGGGACAGGAAGTTTAACAAATGTCTTAAATTACAATTTAAAATCAATTATGGAGCAAGAATAACATGATAATTAGCCATCACAAGTCTGGGTACCTTTTTTCTACCATAGCATTCAGATGTTAGATATAGACAAGAGGCCCAGAGGGCCTGTATTGCTCACCTGAATATGTTTAAAATAATTGGTATGAAGTAGGTGCTGTAAGTATATATGAAATTTCAGAAAGATCCATCCAGTACTTGAGATATAGCGAGAACAAACTTCAAACAGAGCCCCACCCCTATATGCAACCTACGGTGGTCATACCCACCAATTATACAAAATTGAGTCCCCTTGACCCAAGGATGCTCCAGACTAAATAAGGATAAAATCCCATAATCCCGATGGGCGAAGAAGGATTTATAAGGTTTTTCCTCTATTTCTCCTATTGGGCCCCGCCCTTCTGCCCCTTGGGAGACCACACCCACTGCATGTTTATACAAAATTTAGTCCCCTTGGCCCATTAATGCTCCAGACTAAATTATATTTAGGATAAAATCCCTTAATCTCTATGGTAGAAGAAGGATTATAAAGGTTTTACCTATAATTCCCCTATTGGGCCCCGCCCCCCGGGCCCCCAGGGGGGCCACACCCACCGTTTATACAAAATTGGTTCTCCTTTACCCAAGTATGCTCCACACCAAATATGGACCAAATCCTTTCATTCCTACAGACGAAGAATTTTAAAGAATAATTTGCTATGTTTTCTCTATTGGGCCCGCCCCTCAGGCCCCTGGGGGGCAGACCCACGGTTTCTACAAAATTGGTTCCCCTTCACCCAAGGTTGCTTCAGACCAAATATGGAACAAATCCTTTCATTCCTACAGAAGAACAAGGATTTTAAAGAATTTGTTATATTTCCCCTATTGGGCCACACCCCTCAGCTCCCAGGGGGGCCAGACCCACCATTTATACAAAATGTGTTCCCCTTCCCCCAAGGATGCTTTTGACCAAATTTGGTCAAACTCTGCTCAGTCATTCATGACTAGTAGTGTTTTAAAGGAAAAGTTGACGGACGGACGCTGCGGTATGGCATAAGCTCAAAATGGTCCTTAGGTAAAAAAACATGTGTTTCTCATGGGAATACATTATTCCTGTTCACCAAGACGTCATAAAGTATTGCTACTTTGTCATAATTAGAAAATTGTTCAATGAAAAAACGTCCAGGGTGTTATCCTAGTAGGTAACCGAAAATGTTCACCAACTCCTGGCAGGTTTATTAAATGAGTCGAGTGAGGAAACCTATAGAGGTTGTGGAAGAAAAAATCTGCCTTGTATGTGGATGTTTGCCTGTTTTACCTGTATACTCACACAAGTCTACATACATATTGTCGACCCACTCCTACAGTAGTACACAGCAACCCTTCTTGCCACCTCCAGATGGACCACTAACATTTCCTGGGTTCTTTTTGTTTATTGTCCTTACTAAACTATAAAACACCTGAAAATGAAAAGCAATTGGGATGAAGGATCCACCCTAATCTTCAAAATGTCATACTTACACCATGTAATATGCATGCGATTAAATGATGATTGGCGCTCTTCTACAGTAGAACGCAGCCCCCTTTTTTCTTTCCGGTTTTATTTTTGCCTTTTATTTCTGGATTCTTTTTGTTTATCGTCCTGACTAAATTATAAAATATCTGAAAATAAAAAGAGAAATGGACTTTTGAACTTTACGGAACGTTTAAACTGACATTGCCAGGATTCTCCCCAGAACACTACGCTTTTTGACACTTTTACCTGGATTTTTAATTCGTTTTTTTCAGGACCTGAAATTGTGTTTTACAATTCTATGTGTACAGTCAACTGAATATTACCAGTCAGGGATTAAGGGACGTCTCATCAGTTGTATCAAATATGTTACATCCATCAATATACACATGTGTTAATAAGCAGTGAATATTTATTGAGGATCGTGATTCTGTTTGTTAAGGTGTAACTTGCAGTGGTGTAATTATGAATTGTGAACAAATTGGTCTTATTGTGTTCTATTTTTATGCACATCTCTGATACAAGATAACAACAAATAGTAAAAAAAATGTAAGGTTTTGTTTTTATATAAACTATAAAATCAGAAGCTCAAAACCTGAATAAATTAAGTATTGATAAGTCGAAAAAGACGAAAATTCCAACTTCATTACATATTTCTATATTTATTTTACATCTCTATCTTAAATGAGCAAAAACGTAGCCAAATTAGCTAAAAACTGAAGCAAATAAGGCTGTAACATTACAACAAAGGCCTTGCAAAAACTAGATTCCCCATAATTATTAAGTTATCTTGTCATGGATGTCCTCAGTTGTGCTAATAGGAGACACAACATTGGACAAATACAAATAAAATATATCAAGTTCTGCTTTGAATTAACAAGTGTACAAACAAATTGATACAAGTAAAGCAACACAAAAAAGACAAAAACAGTTAAGACAAATGTAGAATGGGATACAGTTGTACAAGAGTATGGTATCTTGATAATAATTATATACAAGATGTTAATAACACTGATACTTCCAAGTCCCAGTCATGCGATTCTATCAGACTCGTACAGCTAGGTATCATGCAATAACATTGGTAAGATTGGTGTTAATCACACTTTGTTGTGTACATGTACAAGTGATGGTTTACAAGGGTACTTCTACACTGGCTAAGTAGTCTAGATGACATTTTGTTGTGTACATGTACAAGTGATGGTTTACAAGGGTACTTCTACACTGGCTAAGTAGTCTAGATGACAT